GTGTGTGTCCATGGGGTAGGGGCAGACTGGATGTGTGTCCACAGGGCAGGATCAGGCTGGGTGTGTGTCCACAGGGCAGGGGCAGGCTGGGTGTGTGTCCACGGGGCAGGGGCAGGCTGGGTGTGTGTCCACGGGGCAGGGGCAGACTGGATGTGTGTCTATGGGGCGGGATCAGGCTGGGTGTGTGTCCGCACCTCAGCTCTGCCGCTGGCTTGGCCAGGAGAACCTGGGCAGGTGCTGAATCACTGGAAAGCTCACGTTCCTCATGAGCAACACGGAGGTGATAGGATCGCCCCCCAGAGTTCACATAAAATGAAGCAAAAGGAAGGGGTGGAGACAGGGCTGCCTGGCTGTGTAGGGGCTTGTGGCTGTTACCATGGCGTTCCATGTTTGACGGGTGCAGCAACAGCAACACTGTCTTCAGGAGGAGCTGGCCCAGTGGGCCCAGGGAGAGGTGGGGGCCGAGAGCAAGGTGCTCCGGTGAGTGGAAAGTCTGGGGTCAGCAGGGAGCACTGAGAAAGGCAGGGACCCCGGTGGGAGGTGTCACAGGGAGGGAGGGTGGGGATTCCCACTGTCCCACACCTGGGAGGCCGTGGTCCCGGCTGCGCTGCATGTTCAGAGCGGGTAGGTCCAGCCCGATCCTCATGACCTGCTTGAAGAGCCGCTCCCGGATCTCATCCACCACGATTTGGTTCTGGCGGTTGAGCTTGGCAGGGGTGGCCATCAGGCCCCGGAGGATGGGGTCTATGCCGCCTGGGGGCGAGACAGGCAAGGGTAAGGTAGGGCCTGGCTCGGGACCAGAACTCCAGTTGGAGTGGGGGCAAGTCCAGGCCAGGAGTGGGGATCAGAGAAGAGGGCTGGACAGGTGCAGCTCCAGGGGCTGCGGAGGCCCCGCCCACGCAGGTTCCAGGGCGTCCAGGTCCCAGGGAACCAGGCCTTTCAGACTCAAGGCTAGGACTCCCTTGTCTGACCAGCTGGCTCGCTGGGACTTCCCGTGTCTGACCAGCTGGCTCCCCAGAGAATGCGAGCACACAGGAAGGAAGCGGCTCCGTAGAAGAGCCAGCTCCATCCCCACTCTAAGGAGCCCTTGATTCCAAGGTTAGAAAGCAAATTCAGGGGAGATCCTCAGAGGCTGAAGGAAAGAGGGTTTCTTCCCAGTTCTCCCCACAGCCCAGCCCACCCCACACTCCCTCGGATGCCCACGGTCCTTTCTCCTGGCCCTGCCAAGCTCACCTTCCAGGACCACCCTCCAGCTGGCAAAAAAGACCTCGCTAAGTGGGACTCGGCTGATGGGCTGGTACCGGTTGTCCAGGCGGAACATGAAGGGTTGGATGAGGGTGTGGCCGTAGCGGAAGGCGTTGGTGAAGACGTTGGCGATGCGTGGGTCCACTGAGTCGTTGTAGCAGCGGTACCGGGGGAGGTACTTCCTCTTGGCCTCTGGCCCCAGCACGAGGGGCAAGTAGTCCCGGTACGTGATGATCTGAGGAGAGACATCGGAGTGGCCTCCCTCTCCCCAGTCCTTCCTGGGAAGATTCCTTCCTTCTGTGCATGGCCAGGGACTTGCCTCCCAGACCAATCCCGGGGTCACACAGAGCTCGCAGCTTGCTGTGTGACCGCGGCAACCCTGGGCCAGTTACTCATCTCTCTCACCCAGTTCCTCAGATGTAAATAAAGGGTCAGGACCCTGCCTGCTGCCTTGTAGTTGTTGTTGTAAGCCATTTCCTAGGCTGCAGGCTTTAGAGCAGCGGTTCTCAACCGGTGGGTCACGGCCCCTTCCGGGGTCGAATGACCCTTTCACAGGGGTCGCCCGATTCATCACAGTAGCACAATTACAGTCATGAAGTAGCAACGAAAATAACTTTATGGTTGGGGTCCCCACAACATGAGGAACTGGATGAAAAGGTTGAGGCATTAGGAAGGTTGAGAACTGCTGCTTTAGAGATCTGTGGTTAAGTGTCTGGCTGCTAACCCAGAGGTCGGTGGTTCAAGCCCATCAGCAGCTCTGAGCAAGAAGGGTGTGGCAGTCTGCATCTTAGATTAGAGAAATATCAAATCGATTGAGACTCATAGCAACCCTATAGGACAGGGTAGAACTGCCCCTGTGGGTTTCCGGACCTGTTCCTCTTTACAGGAATAGAAAATCAAGTCGTTCTCCCTCAGAGCAGCAACTGCTGACCCTGTGGTTAATAACCCACCAGGGTTCCCGGGAGCGCTCACAGTAGAGCCCAATATGTGTTTGTGGCCGCCGGGACCACAGAAGAAACAAGGTGGCACGGTCGTTTGGTTTATCCCAGTGAAAGGGGAAGGCATTCCACAGCATCTCGTTAGATTCTGGACTCTGGAATTGTCTCTGAAGCTCAAATGAATCTCATGGAAGTTCTCATTGCCAATCAGAAGTCCTCGGCACCTACAACCCTTTCTTCCTCCAGGGTCAAAGAGGGTTACAAAGGGGTGTGTGTGTGTGTGT